CTACAGATGACGCGAATGGTCAGGCCAGCAGAGCCTGGAGAGCTCGTGCAATGCAAGGGCTACATCAGATTCATCATGTCGGGTCACCCTTGAAGGATCACATGATGGTTTTCTTGCCCTTCTTGCCCTGCAGGCGAACTAAGTATACTGCCTGCGAGCATGCATGCATCTTATGAAAAAAATATAGTGTTTGCTGGCATGGCTGCCTGTGGATTTAAAGCTTTATTGCCCTGCAGGCGAAAATATACTGCCCGCGAGCATCGATACATCTACCAAAAAGAACAGCACCTAAGCACACTTGGCCTGTTTACTTACTTGTGCTAAATGGCACGACCTCAGTTAGCATTAAGTATGCTAACTTGGCTAAGTAAAATATCCATATCTTGTCTATCCTGTCTAATCACTTACAAGCAACAACATCTGATTGTTAAATGACCCCGTCCATTTACTAAACAAGCCATCTGCACTGCTGCAACATAGCCTACTTATAAGTATACTAACAACAACTTAGCCATGATAATAACCATGGTTGCACAAGATACTTAACCATGCTAAGCACTGTAATCATTTATAACCACCCCGCCCTTAGAAGTAGAGGTGAGGAGAGAGATGCGGCGACGCGGGAACAGCGACGATGTGGCGACGACACGGCGCGACGACGCGACGACGCGGCGACCACGACGCTGCGACGACGAGAGGGCGCGGCGCGCCTGCAGTTTGCGGGGCAGCAATGACGACAGCGGCGACGACGGTGCACCGACGAAGGGGTGGCCGAGCCGCGAGTGAGCGGGCGGATGAGCGACGACGCGACGACGACGACGACGCGGCGACGACGGCGCGACGACGGCGGTGACGCAGAGCCGCTTTACCCAAAATGTTACCCCATGCACCCCCGCAAACGTTGCCCCAAATGTTCCCTCAGAGCCGCGACGGCGCAGGCAGCGGCGACGACGACGCAGGGACGACGACGGTGAGGATAGGGCGAGGATAGAGTCGGATAGAGGTGAGGATAGAGTGGCGACGAAGATGCGGCGACGACACGGCGCGGCGGCGACGCGACGACGACGCGACGACGACGGCGCAGCGATGACGACGCGGCGACGACGCAGCGGCGAGGTCACTGGAAATGGAGGTTGTGTGGGTCTTTGGTGAAGTGAGTTAGGGTCTCAAGGTGTGCAAGGCTGTGGACACTTGACTTGGGATGGAAGATATGACAGGTGAACTCATACTGGTACTTCGTTGTCGAAAAAGTTGTTTTGCGGGCTGCAGTGCGACGACGACGTGACGACGACGGCGCGGCGGGGCCCTCGCTGCTGCTGCCAGGTGCCCTCACATGTGCCCTCACTGCGGGTGCCCTCGCTGCAGCCTCCACGTGCCCTCATTCCCTGCCCGCCCCAGCTCCCAGCTGCCTGCAAGATGCCCTCCTCACCAGGCCTAGGCCCTCGCTCCCCTGCGTTCACTCATGGAACTGGTTCGCCAGTGGCGGTCAGATGTCCAGGGGCCAATCTGGCGCTCTTGGCCCAACAGCAATTTGCAAGGAGTTGGCCTGTGTCTGCGGTTTGCCTCATCGAGCCGAGCTTGCAGCTGACGAACCCCTCCCTCCGTAGAATGGAGCCTGGCGGCTGCCCCTGGGCTATCCTTTGTTTGCACCGGCCCGTGGTCAAATGCGGCCATTTCGCTTTGCCGCGCTGCGCCTTCTTGTTGATTGCCCAAACACCTTCTTGGCACGCGTGCTGAAGTGGATACTTGGCCTAGCAGCGCGCAGGAAGGGGAGCGCCTGTGCTCCTCACCGCCCATGCCAGATCTCTTCCGCATGTGCGGCTGCTTTGGGATAAATTGACCCTGTCGTTCAGCTGGGCTCTTTCTTCACCTCTTCAGACGATTTCCAAGCCTTGATAACCTCTGCTAGCAGACCAGGGGTAAATGAATTCTAGCGGAGCGGGGTCTCAGGAACGCCTGTGTTCTATGCACATGTCGCCAGGACTCCCGCGGCTTGCGCGTTGGTTCGCTTGCCTAAATCTCACGCAGCTTTGGGCTCGGGATACAAGGGGAGCGGGTCTTTGCTGGAGGCAACTGCTTCCGGGCAAATAGTCACTACGGCCATGATCACCCGAGCAGCAGCCGCCAGTCCACCGGCTGCTGTTGTTGTTGAGTGGCCGGCTGAACTGCTCTGCCATGTGTTCTGCCCATATGCCCAGCCTCCATGGCCTCCAGTTTCAGGCCCAGCCTTCCAAGTCAGGGACAGCCTACAAGCTACCGGTCTCCAGTAAGCCTCCAGGTCCAGACTCCAGCAATGCAGAGGCCCTCCACGCAGCCAGCCTCCAGTCCAAGTCTTCAAGTCCTGGGTGTCTAGGCCCAGACACGCTCCCAGCAGGCGCTCTAACGTCACGGGTGCCCTCACCCTTGCTCTCACTTCCCCACGAAATGCCCTCTGCCACACCCTCACAGAGCTCGGTGCTGTAGTTCTTTCTCACTCTCTTGAATCAAAAGGATGGGGTAGCAGACGACGACGATGCCACGACGAGCCGAAACGAGGACATAGTGAGGATATGAGGATAGCGGGTGAGGTGAGGGTGCGACGATGATGCGGCGACGACGTGGGCGACGACGACGCGGCTCGGGAGCGAGGCGAGGATGGAGGTAGCGGGTGAGGATAGCGGGTGAGGGGTGAGGATAGAGAGCGACGGCGCGGCAACGACGACGCGGCAACGACGAGGTTGGATACTGCAGGGACAAATCGCGAAAAATACCGTGTGCGGGGGATACTGTAGGGCGACACTGTGCGGCGACGAGGCGGCGACGACGACGCGGCGACGGCGACGCGGCGACAGTGACGGCGACGCGAGAGACGAGAGGCGACGGGGGTGGGCGGAGGGGAGGCGGCAAGGCGCAGCGACGACGATGCGATGACGACGAGGACACAATGATGCCTAATCCAGCAGCCAGCAGGCCCTCGCTGCATGCAAGCCTCACGGCCCCACCCTTCACCCAGCCCCAGACCCTCCAGCCCTCACCAGCCTCCAGTCCCACGCCCTCTTCACTGCCAGCCCTGCACCAGCTGCCTGCCGGCCCTGCAAGGCCCTCGCTGCCAACCCGCCATGCCCAGCTCTCACTGCTCGCTGGCACTCATTGCCCTCAGTCTTCAATCCGACTCCACCAGCCCCTTTAGAAAACGACGCGACGACGCGACCACGACGCGGCGACGAGGCGACACGACGACGGGGCGCTGCTGGCCGAAGGACGGCGGCATCGCCAGCACCCTCAATGCCACAAGACCCTTCAACACCAGCTCCACGATCGCGGCCACGGGCCTGATCTCCGACAGCGTGGAGCTCACGACGGAGCTGCGGAGCAACATCGTGAAGGCCCACGGACGACTCCCTGACGATCACGGGCGGCACCCAGGGCATCTACGTGAATGCGGTCTACATGGCGGCCTGGTGGCGGATCCCGGACCACGAGCAGCTATGAGCACGCGGGGCGTGCAGCACCAGTGCGAAACGATGCAGGTGACGGGCAGCCAGCCCATCGTCACCGCCGAGGTCCAGAACACCTCGGCCAGGCTGGGCGGCGCGGACCTGGAGGTGGCCTCCAGCGGGGCTGCACCCTGGCGAACAACAACCAGAGCATCAGCTTCACGGCAGCTTCAGCTCCGCGATCATCTACAGGCACCTTCCTCACAGAAGGAACAACCAAGATTGCGGTGAACTACAACAACAACTCACTTACAACAAAAGCCTTTGTGAGAGCAGTCAACTGGGAAGCAGAAGCCAAGCCTATTCCCATATATTTGTGCGAGAAACTGAAGGAACTCATTGAAGAGCAACGTGTTGGTTGGACCAATTGGAGAGACCCTTACCAAGTCCACTACAGCCTAGGAACTTCAGAGCACGTTGATACTTACTTGATGTTTCCACCAGGAAAGTTTGCGTACAGAGCCGTAGTCATTGAGGATGATGATCAGTGGTATCTGTTGCATCACAGCATCATGTTTGAGGAACTTGAAGAGCCATTCGGAACGATCTTTGATGGCAGCAAAGAGTATCGAACATTGACGCTAGTATCGCTCAAGGAATTTCCATTGACCCTCATAGGTACACCCAAGGAAGATGAAGATCGCAAGATGTTCGAAGAGTACACTGAAGATGCATGGTCAATCAGCATGGACGGTACAACACTCACTAGGTCACTAGGTACCACAACTCGTTGAGAAAGACCTTGTTCAACCCTCGAGACACCAACGACATTCCAGTGGATATTGGAAATCTCAAACCAGACAGGTACACCTATGGAGAAGAACCAATCAACAAGGATTTCTTTGAGGATGATAAGTTTTGGACTTTGGATGAGCCTCACAGAGACCCAGAACCACTAGGAGGTTTATCTTGGACAGGACGCAGTGTATTTGAACTCATTGAACCAGTGAACCCCAAGGCCAGGAAACCGAAACAGAAGGTTCACCAACTGGACACGATCCCAGAACAGGAAGAAGAACAGGAAGAGACCTCGGAGGCCCAAGCACCAGGGCACAGGCACGAGCTTGCAGGAGAACTGTCATTTTCCTTCAATGGTCATGAGTACAACCAACAGAACAGCCTCAAGGCCCTGAAGGAACTTTGTAAGGAACTTGGAGTTTCAAAGTTTGGTTCTAAGCAGGACATTCTTAGAAGACTCAGCAGGTCGATCATGGAAGCAGAAAGGCACATGGAGCTTACCGCAGCTCAGAAGAAGTACAAGGAGTACATTGAAGCAAAACCTCTGAAGGTACCAAAACAGCCAAAGCGGTTCCTGTGTTTACTCAGGGTTGTTTCGGACTTACTCATCCCCGCGGCCCCGCTTGGGTTCAAGCATACACCACGCAACAGCAGCTTGCTTTCAAAAAAACTTTAGCTTTTGCTTTGCTTCTGGCCAGCTTTCTAGTTCCTGATCACATGCTTTGAGCTGTCAGGAGCACTTTTCAGCAGCTTTAGCTAGGAGTGCAAGAGCCACACTCCACTTGCATGGATTCCGCGCCTGAGCCCTACAGCCCTCAGCTTCGTGCAGTCCTGCAAGATCTTAACAGGGAAGTGCGGCAATTCGACATCCGCTTGGTCGAAGCCAACCTGACAGACGACGTCAGGGCTTATGAGGCTGAATTCTATCTAAGCCTGGATTGTGTTGAAGCAGCCAAAACCATGGGCTGAAAATAGGAATGAAATAGAACCAATAATTGGACATCGCTGTGGTGCAAATTTTTATTTCTGTTCTATTTAATTTTTATTTTTGTTCTATTTTGGTTTCAATTTTTTCCTATTTTATTTCTATTTTATTTCTATTTTATTTCTATTCTATTTTTCCTATTTCATGTCTATATTGAAATCTCCAGCCGGGCCCTTAGATAGGAAATCTATCTAAGGTAGACTGGGCCCGACCAAAGATAGGAATAAAATAGTGGAAAAATGGAAATAAAATCGGTAAAAAATGAAAATAAAATGGAAAAAACATAGAACCAAAACAGGACAAACACAATTCGGCGTTGAGCACAGGTTCCCTTCTTGTGCCACTTTCTTCCTATTTTTTACGTATTTTTGATCCTATTTTGAATCTATTTTTTTGGTATTTATTGATTTTTAACTTAATCCAGACTTAGATAGGAATTCAGCCTCATAAGTCAGGGCCCTGTGTGACAGGCTGTACGATCTGGAGGCCGAGTCATCGGCCCAGCGGACTGAGATCGCCCGCTTGCACACCCGTCTGCATCGCTTAGAGGAAGAACTAGGGCAAGGGCGTGGTTGGCTGATTCATCTTGCTGACAGGACCACAGCTTTGGAGGAAGCCACTCAGACGCTTGCCATCAAGGTCAGGTCGCTCGTGACCCTGCTTCGAGAAACACTTTCGGAGACGGTGGCACGGCTTAGGATTTGGTTTTGACCATGGCCGCTCCGGAAGCTTTCAGTGGTGATGCGCCAGCTTTGCCTTCTAGCATGGTGGCTACGGACATCCTCCTGGCTGACTCTTCACCTTTCTGCTCTGCTGATGAAGCTTTGGAGCTTAGGGAATCTTTTCGCAACCACTTTGCTGATTTTGCGGATCCAACAGACCCTAATCAACAACCTCCAGCTCCAGTACCCACTTTGGAGGTTGCGGATTCAGATGCAGAGGAAGCCTTCGAACCCAGGAGTAAACTTCGACGCCGCTGGCTCCACCAAGCACATTGTGCCCCGGTGACTCCCCCCCTACCTATGGAAAACTCCCCAGGTGCTTCCAGCGGTGATCAATCTTGGCAGCTTATAGAGCAACACCAGCCGGAGGCCGAGAAACTTTCCTTTGGGGGGTCCACTTCAGGTACTTCGACTTTTCAGATTTTGCCGCTGCGATCCACCCCACCTCGACCCAGTCTGTCTGCTACTTCGAGGGCACCCTCTTGGCGGGCTCCAAGGGTGTGCTTGAGGTACAACTCCCCTTTTCAGGTGGGGCACAACGGGCGTCAGCCTACAGTGGCTCGGCTCCGCCCACGCTCCCCCTTTTCAGCTCCGCTTCAGGCCCCCAGCATTGTGCCTGTTCAGCAGTCTATACCACAAAGCTTCCCGGCGGCGAAGGCACTGCCGCACTTTCAGGACGCGTCTGCTTATGCAGCATATCCGACGCTTCAGCAGACTCCTGTTCAGGCATCAATCTCCTTGGCCACTCCGAGACCGGTCCAGTCCTCACCGGCAGCTTTGCGAGCGCCCTCAGAATTGCACCCTCCGGCTTTGCGCGCTCCGGCAGCTGGCATGATGACAAGCAAGGACAATCATCAAGCATGCGATGAGCGCAACAGGGTTCTTTTCGACCAGCTTTGCAAATCGCATGGGGCCTACAGCTCGGTGCTCCAGCAGCTTGAAAGTAGCCGAGAGGGCGCCCTCATCCGGTCCCGCTTGCTGAACAAGGTTAGCGACACCACAGCAGCCCGCTACCTTCGCTCTGTTCAGCTTTTCTTTTGTGCCTTTGAGGAGCTGGGCGGCAACATGGAGGCCATAGATCCGGGGCTGTTCCTCGATGCTTTCTTTGCTTTGTCTCCAGGTGCGGATTCAGGCCCCCTTTCAAACAGCATCAACGTCCTCAAGGCGCTCCGTTGGTACAAGAAACTTCTGGCCATCGCTTGTTTGCCTGATTTGTATGGCACCGCTTTCAGCCTGCTCTCCAACCCGGCCGGGCAGGAGAAACGCGAGAGCATACCTCTCCCCTTGTCGTTCGTTGCTTTTCTTGAGCGCATGCTCCTGTCTGGCAAGGCAAGCTTGATGGACGGCATTTGGGCAGGCTCCTTCCTTGTGGCCATTGGTGCTAGCCTCCGCTTTGCAGATGCACAACATGTTCGATGGAGCACGCTCTGCGTTAGCAGCTTCACACTTAGAGGCATCTGTTACAGGACAAAGACCACTGAAGGGGGCTGCCCATGGGGCCTCCTCAGCTTTGGCCTCTTCTCCTCCTCCGAGGACTGGGGCATGACATGGCTTCCCCACTGGCTTGGGGCATTGGACACAGTCTGGTGCGAGGTTCGCTCCCGCTTTGGGCCCCAGCCGGAACCCGACTGTCTGTTTTTCCTTTGGAGCGAGACCGGCTTTGCACCCGCATCCTACTCCCAAGCCCTGCAGAAGCTTCGCTACATGCTTACACTTTCTGGCATTGCACCAGCTCAGGCAGCACAGTACACGCTTCACAGCCTCAAGACAACTTTCTTGTCTTGGATGAGCCAGCTGTCGATTCCACTTTCCTCCCGCTTCCTGCAGGGGCACCACAAGGCGCCAGGGTCGGCTCAACTGTATTCGCGGGACGACGTGTGGCCAGCTTTGCGTGCACAGTGGCTGCTTTGGCGTTCAATACATGCCGGCTTTCGTCCAGCAAGACCACAGCACAGAGGCGGCCAGTCCCCGCTTGTTGAACCACTTGTGGACACCGCAGGTTTCCAGTGGGTGGAGTACTGCCCGGACCTTTCCTGCTTTTCAGTTGGCAACGACTGTCAGTCCTTCTTAGCTTTGGAGCAGCAGGACGGTGACCTCCGCGACGCCCGGGAATGCGGTTCTTCACGTTCCGGCGCCAAGCTTCCTCCATGTGTTCGTGCTCGTGCCCAGGTCGACCACTTCGAGGACTCCGATGCGGACGAAACAGGCCCGGCTCGTGCCTCTTCTACCGCGACCCGCGCTCCGGAGGTCGATCCCACATGGCAAGCTGAGTCCGGTGAGGCCCCTAGCTTTTCACACAGTACGCAGCCGCTTGCTGCTCCCCCCGCTCAGGGACTCCGCTCTAGTTGTAAAGAGGTACGATACCTCTTGGGAGCCTCTGGGGTGGCACACTCTTGCGTTTCCCACCCCGGCTCCCGCATGACGTGCTTGGCCTGCAGGGACGCTTCTTGCGCAGTACGATGCCACCCCGCTTGTGGATGCATCTCAGAATTTTCACCTTTTGTCCATTTTCCGCCCGACTCCCGCTTATGTAAGCGGCGGGCTTGCATCATGGCCTCGCTTGATGCAGCTTGATATCAGCCAGCTCTGAAAACAACCGACGTGTTTGCACTGCATTTCGATTGCATCGGTTCGGGCACGGTGATAACTTGCTTGCTTGGAGTCCAACAACTTTCTGTTCATCGTTTTTCTTCAGCTCGAGATGCGCTTTAAGCCCACTTTCTTGCCTCCTTGGGTCATGGCGAAACTTTCCCCTGAGTACGCCTTCACACTCCTTAAGACCATGACTGACGAGGAGAAAACCCGCTTTCTGAAGCAGTTGGAGAGCGACCCGCTGCTTCCCTCATCCACGACGAGCTCATCCTCGGTGGAGGCACCCGCTGTGCAACCCGTCGCAGCACTTATGGAAGACCCCATAGGGGAAAACATCGCCGCCGAGGATTTACCTGCAGTGGAGCCAACTGCTTCACCGTCCCCTCCGGCCAAAGCTGCACCCGCTTCTGTGACAGCGGAGCAGCCCGAGGCAACCCAGGACGGCAGCGCACCCGCTTCCGGGACCACTTCACTGGTGGCGGAGGCGATGGTGTTGCCAAGCAAAACGCTGGCAACGTGAACCCGAGGTGAAGGAACCGCCGCCACGGCCGCCCTCTTCACCAAAGGCGAGTTCTCCAACCCCTGCTCCGACTGGACCTCCGCTTAAGGCCAAGAGTGTGGCATCACCGCCGAAGCCCGCTTCGGCGTCAGGCACCGGCCGCACCAACTCCCAACGCCCCCCCTGCGGCCAAGGAGAAAGCTCCACCGCCTCCGCTTGCAGAGACTGGGGCCACCGACGGCAGCGCGGGCACCACAAGCCAGCCAACGCCCGCTTCGACAACGCCAACGCCTGCTTCCACCACGGCTACGGCTACTCCGTCGGGCAACAGGGCCCCACTTCTGGCGAGCGAGGCCCCGGCGAGCCGCTTGGGGCACACCATCTACGACAGTGAGGGGCAGCCCACGCTTCAATTAGCGACCGCTCCAACAGCTACCACACCACCCACTTATGCAGAGACTGCAAGAGGGCGGAAGCCGCTTCACAATGGAGCCAGGGCTATGAGGAGTGGGGGCAGAACCAGTCCGGATGGGAGGATCAACCCGCTTGGGGATCCTGGAACTGGAGTGGCCGCAATTGGCAGCATCAATGATGCTTTTGCCTCCGCTCCACGCTTTTGCCGGCTGTGGCGTTGAATCGCCCACTTTTGGGCTTGCCCCTATAGATCAAGGGCAGCCCCGCTTGGGCTTGTGGGCATAAAGCGCCCGGCTTCTCCGAAGCCAGACATACCCGAGCTCCGCTTCCCGCTTGAAAAAGAAGGCAAGCCCGCGTGCCGCCCTCTTGAGAACAGTTCACGCTTTGAACTTGTGGCTCGCTTTTCACTCTTGTTTCCCGCTTGGATCAAGAAAGATTTCCGGCCTCCCCCGCTCTGGGTAGCCCTCGCTCCCACGTTACAGGCCACAGATGCCTACTGGTCAACCCCAGTAAACTGTTTCCCTGCTGCAGGACCACCACTGGCAACGCTCCACCCTCAGCTTCAGTGCTTCGCTTCTTTTCGGCATTATGTGCACCTGCTTCAGGTCAAGCGAAGATGTCTGACTTCACACAACTCGTGGCCGACTGCAATGTGCCAGCAGCTGTCTCTTCTTTGCTTTCAGCGTTCGACGTTGCTTTGTTTGCCCGGTCCTGCACCACTTCGGCAGAGCTTGAAGAGTTGGTGAACCACTTTGTGGCGGAAGCCTCAGTTACTGACGCCGCTGAGCGCTTTATCACCAAAGCTTCGCTTCGCTTGCTCTTTTGCAAATGCCGAACGTCAGAGGGCATGGCATCCTTGGAAGCCGCTCCCACTCCCACCACACCGCTTGGTGACGGGCCTCCAGCTGCTACCCCGGCTCCCCCGGCCACGCCTCCGCTTTCCAGCTCCTGGCAAGAGGCTTGGCCCGCGAAGCTGAGTGGGGAGCGAACCGCGTCGCTTAGGAAAAGGTTCGAGAGAGCTTTCCAAGCGCCCGCTTATTGGGACAAGGAGGTGCGATGGATTCCCTGGAAGTATCGCTTAAGCGCTCGTGCTCAAGAAGACCGTCTCCTCGTTCGGCCCAGGAAACAGGCCCGCTTTGACCTAACAGAGCTTTTTCTGGACGAGGCGCCTACACGTGACATATACATGAAGGCCCCGCTTCCTTTGGCCTTGTCACTCAGCTTCTGTCACTGGCTGCCAACGCCATTGCGCTCTGTCAAGGTGCACATCTGGGCTCTCTGAAGCTTTATAATAAACGCTTCATGAGGATCTGCTTCACCAAGTACGATGCCGCCGCCAGCTTACGCGGTCCCACTACCATGGAAGCCCAGGCCGCTGACCGCCGCTGTTGGGAAATCATCGCCGACTTAGTCAACGTGCACCACTGGAAGTTGGACGATGCGCTTCACGAAGTGGCCGAGGTGCGCTCCGACATGCACAGCCTGCTTGCACCGAGGCCCTTTATCTCCAAACCGAAGTTCGACCTGGACAACAGTTGGAAGGCCCGCTTCACAGGCAACGGTCGAGGCGGCAAGGGCGGTGGCCGCGGCGGCAAAGGCCGCGACGGCAAAGGCGAGAAGGGGGAGCGCTTTGAGAGAGGGGGCAAAGGTGGCAAGGGCAAAGACAACAAGCAAGCCACCCCCCCCGGCAAATGGCTCTCCACCCTCTTCATGGATGGCAAACGTCAGACGCTCTGCATGAGGTACCAGAGTGGGCAGTGCAAGGACCCGGCCACATGCCGCTACTTGCACAGATGCGCAGTGCCCAAGAGTGACGGCACAGCTTGCGGAGGCAATCACCCAGCTTCACAGCATGTTGCCACCCCGCATTAGGAAACCTACTTCAGCGAGCTGCGGGACATCGCTGAGGAGGTCACGACCGTCCCGCTTAGTGTGCCGGCACAACCGTCAGGCTCAGCAGGGGCCACTTCGGCACTGCCCAAGGCACGTGCCCCGGTCTCCGATGCAGCATCTGCACTCAGTGAAGGCTCTCTCGACTTCGCTACTTGCTTGGAGCTTCTAGCGCAGTACTTTTCCATTCCCTTCGCTTCTTCTTCTCACTGCCCTGACAATGCCATTGCAGCCTCTGAAGCATATTTCAATTTGGGGGGCTTTCGCTTTTGATAATGGCGCCAGGTCGGGCATCTTTCAGCGTACCGAGCAATTTTCAGACGTTCTTCGATTCTTGAACGCTTTTATGCAGCTTCAGTTCCCCGAAGCCTCCTGGAGCTCCCTCTGCGTCAGCCACAACGTTCGCACCCGCTTACACACAGATTCTGGCAACGCTGCAGGGTCTCTAAATCACACAGCCTCACTTGGCAACTTCAGCGGTGGCGAGGTTTGGCTTTGCCCCGCTTTGAACCAGGCGGCTTCTCAGGTACCGGCCCCCTTGGATGCCTCATCCGAGGCGCACAGTGCAGCTGAAGCTGGTACAGGCGAGGTGCGTGTCACTTGGCACGCGCCGCTCTCCTTCACCTGTGAAGCACTTCACTGTACGCTTCCGATACAAGGAGACCGGTGGGTATTGACTGCCTATACTTGCAAGAGCCTAGACCGCTTTGATGCAACGTCACTGGCACACCTGAGGTCTCTGGGCTTCCCGCTCCCGCCGGCAACCCCAGGCCACCCGCAGTCAATACCTCCTCGCTCAAGGACACGACATGCGTGGAGCTCTTCCTGGACATATGCTGTGGGGCCGCTCACCCACTTACCACGGCGATGTCTTCATGCGGAATCACTTGTCTGCCCATAGATCTACTTGGCGAGGAGCAACTCGACCTGCTCAACGACGGCACCTACGACCACTTGCTTCGACTGTGTTTTGCTGGGATTGTCCGCTTAGCTCACGGATCGCCGCCCTGCAAGGAGTATTCCCGCTTGAAGCTTCGTCCAGGTGGACCTCCAGCCATTCGATCGCCGGATCACATGAACGGTCTGCCAGGGAACACCGCCTCGCAGCAAGCTAGAGTACACAGCAGCCAGAAGCTTCTATATCGTTGCGTATGCCTTCTGAGAGCAGCTTTTTGTTCAGGCGCACATGTGTCCCTGGAACAACCCACTAATGCTATGTCCTGGCTTGAGCCTTTCGTTCAGGACATGCTTTCTGAAATACAGGCCTCACTGGTCAACATCCCGGCATGTGCAGTGGGACAGGATATAGCAAAATCGTGGCTTTTCGCTTGCAGTTACAGTGAATTCCGCTGTCTGGCAAGCACATGTTCGCATGCAGGAGGCCACCAGTCCGTCGCAGGAGCCAGGGACGAACACGGTAACTTTTTGTCCCAGAGGACGGCGGAGTACCCGTCCCAGCTTGCCGAGAAATTCTCAGCGAAGGCAGTGCACTTATTTTCTTCAGCAAGACCTGCTTATTCGGTTGCGCCCTGCTCCTTGAAGTTCGCACTGGCCTCAATTCCCAAAAAGCCGCGTTCATCAACGCCTACAGCCGCGCAGGACGGCGGGGGCATCTACTCTTTGCCCGACTGGTCCCTTGGCCCAAGGTACCAGTCCGACAGCTTACACGACCTGCGGAAGGAATGGCAATCTTGGCTGCTTCAGAACAGAATTCCTCTCAGGCTCCAGCAACACATTGCCGAAGCCAGCAATAAACCTCTTTACTCAGAGGAAGAAACGGAGTGGCTTCGCTCTTCTTTCAAGCGCTTTTCGGACGCTCACTCCCCGTGCCAGGACTGGAACTTCTCGGTGACGGAAGGCCAGCCCTACTGCTTGTCTGCACTGGAGCGCTTGAGTACTATGCTGGGTGACAAGGACACTTCCCTTTTCCCCGCTTTACAGAAGGGCGTGCCTACGGGGTTCGATGGCGACATCCCTCGCAGCCACACACTCCGACCTCGTGATCCCAACAACTCAGACGAACCCACTGACCTGCTTGTTTGCGAAGGTAACTGGCAGGGGGCTGAGGCAGACCCAGCACTGCTTCAGGAGTTGATCGACGAGGAGGTTTCTGCCGGCTACATAGAGGAAGTTCCCAGCTTAGAGGCTGCTTACGAAAGGTGGGGCAAGGAACGTGTTGCGGTGGGCCGTGTGAACATTGTCAAAGCCCCCGGTCGCTCTGCCCGCTTGGTCATAGACAACAGCATCTGCAACACGAACCAGAACTGCCACGTGCCTGAACAGTTCTCCTTGCCCAGCCTCCAGGACATTCAGTCCGCTTATCCTCCGAGGGAGGACGAGGAGCCGGTTTCGGGTTTCAGCTTAGATGTGAAGGGAGCGCACAAAACTTCACTTGTGCGCGAGAAAGACAGAGGCCTGCTTGGGCTGAGACAACGAGAACGCCTCTGACTCTTTTTCTACCGTGTCTGTCCCTTCGGGGCCACTTTTTCGAGCCACTGGTTTGCCCGCTTAGGGGGCTTTTTTGTGCGCTGCCTTCACCTACTTATCTGGTTGTCACACGTCCTCATGCTGTACGTAGATGATTTGCTTCTCTGGCAAAATTCTCGTGCCCTGCCGCTTAGCGCTTCTCTGGTCTTGGCATTCTGCGCCTGCTTCAATATACCGCTTAGTTGGCGGAAATTGCAGATGGGGCCGTCTATAACCTGGATAGGGTGGCAGATCGACTTCAAGGCTGGCTGTTACACTTTACCGGAGCTCAAACGCTTGAAGCTGCTCGGCCAGGTGGAGGAATGCCTTCGGCACCGACTTGTCAGCCGCAAACAGCTTGACAAACTCCTAGGTCTGCTTCAGTGGATTCTGCATGGTCTTCCTGCTTTACGCCCCTGGCTATGCACTCTGTATGATGACATGCATAGACCACTTGGCACCAATGTCAGCATCAGCCCAGTTGTTTGGCCAGGCATCCACTCTTACCTGGACGACAAGCTCCGCTTCACAGGTTGCCCCCCGGGCACGGGCATTTCACCTGGCTCAATTCTGCTTTCAGCTCGGCATAAGCCTCTTAAAAGTAAAGACGACCTGGCTTTAGTCCCCGTAAGCACAAAGCGCATGTGGCTCCGAGTTACGGACCCCACTTCCTCCAAGCGGCGCTTATCTGAGTCCAGCAGAGAAACCCTTGCCTTCTTTGCCCACTTGAGCTCCAGGGACTGGCGGCCCAGGCCACTCCGACCACCACCTACCAGTTCGGTGGAGTCGGCCGCAGACGCTTTCGGCAAGGGCAATGATTGTGGCGTGGGAGGATGGCTCCTCCTCCCCGGTGGACGCCTGCTTTGGTTTGCTCACCGCTACACGGTCAAAGACTTCCTGGACTTAGGTCTGCCCATGCAAGCAGACGCCAACCTGGACATCTCCAGCTACGAGACATTGGCACAGTGCTTTGTGCTTTTGGCCTTTTGGAAAGCCCATGGTTCCGGTCGCTTGGCTTTGGCATTACCAGCTTTGAGCGATAATAGCGGTGCAGAGTCAGTGTGTAATAAGCTTTACACCTCTAAAGTACCACTTAATCTTTTCGTTCGCAAGCTTTCGATGTGGAGCTCGATTACCGGTGTCGCTTTGGACTGCAGCCATATAGCTGGCGAGAAGAACGATGACGCAGACCTGCTTTCTCGGTGGGATGGCTCCGCGGAACTCCCTGCCAAGTTTCTGGCCTCGAACCGCATCGAGCTCTCGCTTTCTGAGTTCTGGCAGATCCGCTTTCAAGTGACGCTTTTTCCCGCTGACACATTTTTGAAATGGCAGCTTCCGTCAGCTGACAGCTTGGGCCCGACAAACCGCGGTTCAAGGAAGCGCAAATAGCTTCCTCACCTCACTTTTCTGCTTGGCCTTTTCACTACGTTTGCGAGGTTTCGGCTTGCCAGTTTCAGACCCGGGCTTTTGCGACTGCTCCGCTGCTTCAGCTTTTGCTTTACGATCTCGGACGGATCAAAGATCCGATCGGGACAGCCGACGTCTGAGCAGTCGCTTTACCGGCAAGCCGAAAAAGAACAGTGTGCGTACCTTCTTGCATGTTCCAGCTCTTGCTTCGCACAGCATTCCTCGCAGTAGCCTTTTGATGTTGCGTGGTGTAGTAATGTCCTGAACGGTTCCTGTGTTTACTCAGGGTTGTTTCGGACTTACTCATCCCCGCGGCCCCGCTTGGGTTCAAGCATACACCACGCAACAGCAGCTTGCTTTCAAAAACTTTCCCACCCGCCCACACCTTTGGGCACGCTTTCAGCGCAGGGAGCTTTTCAGTCACAGCCCGCTAGACAGTCTTGTATCGCTTTCCGCTGTTTTTGCTCTACTTACATTTCAGCTTTGTTGCTCCTTTGCTAATACGCTTACATGACGATACGGGCTTTTGCGACTGCTCCGCTGCTTCAGCTTTTGCTTTACGATCTCGGACGGATCAAAGATCCGATCGGGACAGCCGACGTCTGAGCAGTCGCTTTACCGGCAAGCCGAAAAAGAACAGTGTGCGTACCTTCTTGCATGTTCCAGCTCTTGCTTCGCACAGCATTCCTCGCAGTAGCCTTTTGATGTTGCGTGGTGTAGTAATGTCCTGAACCAGAAGAAGTTGCAGTACATAATCTCACACACTTGCCTTACGCATCGTGGTGTCCTACATGTGTAGCATGCAAAGGAAAAGAGTCTCCACATCTTCGTGAGAACCCAGAGAAGGAAAGATCTTCGAGACCAACTTTCTGCATGGATTTCTGTTTCACAGGAACAAGTCACGATGAGGCACCAGCAGCAGTTAGTCTTGTGTGTGTTGATTCTTGGAGTAGGAACATGGTCTGTATCCCTACAGCATCCAAAGGAAAGGGTCTTGTAGAACACCTTTGCGAAGGAGTCACCTACTTGAGCACCCAGCTAGGATATGGAGCCATCAACTTGAAGGCCGACAACGAAGGAACTATGATGAAACTGAAGCAGGTAATCCAGAAGCAACGAGCAGCTTTAGGTTTAGGAACAACCTTGCAGGACGCAGTCAGTGGCCAGAAGGAAACCAACGGCATGGCAGAGAGAGCAATTCAAACCATTAGGCGACAAGGAACTACCTTGATTAGGCACCTGGAACACAAAACAGGAACATATATTGCTCATACCCATCCAGTCTTCAGTTGGGCTTTCAGGCATGCAGCGTGGACCTTGAACAGGTACCATCGCCACACAGGTACAGGAATGACGCCATATGAGTGGATGGCCGGGCGCCCTTACGAGGGCCAACTTGCCGAATTTGGTGAATCACTTTTGGTTTTGACCAATCGTTCAGGAACACGTGGCAATAGGAAAGGCGACCCTATTTGGTTGAGAGGAGTGTTCTTAGGAAAAACAGACAACAACTTGTTCATTACATGGCACATGGACGGCATCAAAACAAGCCGTAGCGCAAAACGCTGTGTGGAACATTTCGACATCAAAGGAATAAGCAGCGTAGGAATTCATACTTGGGAAGTGAAGCACACTACCCTTACGACAAGGAACATCCCAAGGAAGAACATCCCAGGACCACTTGCAGAGGCACCACCTATCATGGATGGAGCCGGAACTCAGGACCAGACAGCTCAGGAGTCGGCACCTTCAGCACCTTCAGGACCGATTGTCATCCAAGGCGGGGACTCTGCAGGAAAGACAGGACCTACTAGGTCAACGTACTTAGAGAGCAAAGCAAAGCAAGCACAGAGCAAGAGGAAAGCAGAAGAAGAACTTGAGCAGGAATATCCCGACGAAAACCAAGATGAAGCAGCTTCGGACCCAACGTCTTCAAGCAGTAGCAGCAACAAGGAAATGGACGCAGCCTCGGAACCAGAACTCATCCCAGACAGTGCAATGGCCAGTGAACTACTTTCAGCTAGAGGACCTGCACCTCTTAGGAAGCAAGAGTTTGAAGATGTAGGAACAGGTTCCAAGATCCCGAAGATAGATTCTCCCAAGAAAAGGTACCCTCCGTTCAACGTAGGAAGAGTGTACGAGCACAACGACGAGGAACTACCTGAAGCAGAACCAGGTACAGAAGACATTTTCTGGGAAGATTCGTACTCAGACATTGGCGATTCAGATGAAGAGCAAGACATCTTCAAGAGCGAGGACTCAGGACCTCCAGAAGTTCCAGAAGGACAGTTGCAGGAACTAGACAGTGAGGCGATGCTCACGGAGATCAATAGACTCACAGAGATGAAGGCATTGGCAAGGAAACCCTTGCAAGAGCTTGAGAGAGAAGAGCCGAGAGAGAAAGAAGAAGAAGAAAGAGACCAAGGAACAAAGTGGCTCACAACGAAGTTTGTTTTCGATTGGAGATTCAGGAATGGCAGGTGGATGCGTAGAGCTAGGTTAGTGGCTAGAGAGTTTCGAGGTGTAGAGGTCAGGAACGACACTTTTAGCCCAGCTACAAGCGCATCGTTGGTGAGACTTATCCCTATCCTGGGACTACAACAGGAACATGCCCTGTATTCGATCGATGTCAAGGACGCATTCTTACAGGTACCGCAGAGAACTCGTTGCGCATGTCAATTCCCGAAGGAATATGTGGATCTGTTTGGCGACCAAGACCCTAGTTGTAGGAACGAAGGTTTGTTACTGCTCAGAGTACTTCCAGGACAGCGAGATGCAGCACTTCTTTGGAGTGATCATTTTGCAGGAACACTGAAGGAGCAGAACTTTGATAGGTGCATAGCATGCCCTACTTTGTTTCGTGACGACAGGAACAGCATACTTGTTGTGCATGTGGATGACATTCAAGCAGCAGGGAAACCAGACACCTGGAGCCTAAGCTAGGAAAGCTAGGAGAAACCTACGAACTGAAGGTTGAAGGCCCCGTCTTGACAGAACAGGAACTTGAAATAGGAGAGTCACATCAAACCATCAGATTCCTCAAAAGGAAATTCAGCTATCACAATCATGAGCTTCACATCACGAGTGACCCGAAGTATCTAGTGAAACTCAAGGAAGAACTGAAGCTGACTAGCAAAGCCTCAAAGCCAACTCCGTGCACCCAAGAGTCTCAGGAAGCCGACAACACCCAAATCTTGAACCAGGAACAAGCAGCATCGTTCAGGAAATGCGTTGGCATACTCTTGTATGTCAGTCCGGATCGCCCTGACGTGCAGTCTGCCGTAAGAGGTTTAGCCTCCAAGATGTCAGAACCCACACATGGTTCTTGGAAACACTTAGTCCATCTTGTGCAGTATATGGCAAGAACTGAAGGATACCATCTTGTGTACAGGAAAACACCAAGAGGACTTAGCAACCTCCATGAATCCATTAGGAGCGGCAGTTACGACTTTACAGGAACACAGCCCAAGGAAAACCATCTTTTGGAAGTCTACAGCGACTCAGATTGGGCAGGAAAGAAGGACACTAGGCGCTCAACGTCTTCAGGAATTGTTTGTCTTGACGGCCAGTGTATCTACTCCTTTTCAAGTGCGAACGGACTGCGATGCCTTGTCAAGTTCTAAGGTGTCACTATAAGAGCTGTGAGCAAGACCGTGTAAAGTGCAAGAGAAGGGGGCACGCTACGCGTCCCTCGACTCTAGGGGGCATGCTACGCATCCCTCATCTTTACCTTTCTATGTGACCGCCAACGCAACGTTTGGCTCAAGTCAATGCCCATAGCTAAGTGCTATATGTGTCTTCTATCCTGAGCAATCAGAGCTATCCCGTTGCACAGACGAACCGCCGCCGGCAGTGAGTGCAAAAGGAACGGCCGCCGGTTCTGCCTGCATAGGATCGCACGTGTGGGAGTAAGAGGGAGAGACAGGGTCCAGTCTGTGGAGAGTGCTAGCCAGCCACACCTACATTCATTACAGCTCTGGTGGGGAGAGCAGCAACCAAGTCGAGATCAATCCCCCACGCAGGTTATCAGCCGTACGCGGCTCTGCCTTTCTACAGCAACGACTACTTGATCTACTACGACCACAATGAACTCAGGATCAAGCCAAGATACGACAATGACTTTCGGTGCCGATGTGGCAGCGCCAGCCGTTGGTGAGTCAACAGCTGATGACACAGTGGTGCAATCCGTTGATAGCTCCACGGAAGATGACAAAGGTCAATCTTCTGCGCTTGCCATTGCAAAGGCAGTTCCCAAGGGGAAAGCAAAGAGTCTACCAAGAGCATCTACGCCTTCGCGTCCGACATCCACAGGTTCGAGGACGGGCAAGGCTTCAGAACGACGGGCCGAAGCGTCTGGTTTTCAGGCACCTCGGACTACGTCCAGGGCCAAGGACAAAGGAGTCAAGACCTTGGAAAAGAAGTCAAGGCCATCATCTTCGAGAAGCTCTTCAGCACGATCGAGGACCTCAGCCACTCGTGGGCGTGACAAGTCCATGACGTGGAATCGGATGGTTACCAATCAACCACGCGATGCTGACGATCTGGATATGACTCTGGATACGATTCCTGCACGTGGTGATGCGTCGTCCGTGGCCACGCCTGCCATAGCTGATGGTCCGAACGCTTATCAGGAGCTGACGATTTCACAACAGTTCGAAGCATCGAACCTTGCACAGCAGATGTACTATCGCAGTCAGGTGCAAGAATACGAAGGAATCGTCCAGACCCTGATGGACAAGATCAAGGAGATGCAACAAGAAGATGAAGGATCTGGAATTCGCATTGAAGAATTGGAACGACAACGTGACCATGCATGCTTAGCCATGAGGCACATCAACAATGTCAATCAGGAGATGAAGCGAGACTATGAAACAGCTTTGTTTCGCATGGATGAACAGAACTCTGCTCAACAACGTCAAGCACATGCCGTCGCCGAGGAGTTAGCTCAACAGCTCCACGTGTTCCGCACGGAGGCAGCCACT